CCCCCACCGTCCCACTCCCGTTCCACCATCACCCTCTTCTTACGTACCACATTATCGATCTCGAATTCCTTCTCGCCTTTCCATCAACTTCAGAAAACTTTTCAATAATTATTATCAGCATTTCGCGTCCTACGGGTAACAGCATTGAGTTTCCTACGGACCCGATAAAGATGCTGCGTTATAAAAACAATGATATAATAACAACACAGAGATAAGAGCAAAATTATTTTCGCGAATCGACGATGATAATTATATTTCGAGAAACTCAAGACTTTAAGAAACAGCTTCAACGTGGGTAAAAGCTTATTTCCGGAACTCCGCGACAGAAAGTCGAAAAGTTAAGAAAATCGTGCATATTAATAAGCAGATGCAAATTACTGTTTGAGTTTATAATTAAAGGGTTTCCCTCGAACAAGTACCTAACCCTACCGTGATGAAACGTGATGGATCGAGGAAGTTTGTAATTTATTTTTTTAAGTCTTAGCTAAGGACTTGGGACGAGAGAAATTCACGTGACGTAACTGAGACAGTGGATAAGTCGTAGCTTGGAAATAGCGAAGAAAATTACAAAGTTAAACGAAGAACATGGAAATCCTGAGAAAGACATTTACGTGAAGGATACATTTACGAAAGGGATTTGAATGACGTAATAATAAAACGTAGATAGCACCCCGGAGCCCATCGTTAATTTTATCATTGGACAAAAGAACCAAATTCCACGTAATAAAGGCACGAATTGTTAATTAATATAAAACGACCAATTAATCGCTAAGCTGTCGAGTGACGAGTAGTTGCTAAAAGTGACGGACCAAAAAGAAAGGTTATTTTCAGGTTAATTATCAAATAGTCGCCTTTGCTAACCTCTTACAATATTAACAGAAATACAGCTCGGCGACGCATGCCTGTCAACCTTTGAAGGAAAAACACAAACGAATATCAAGATTACAGGTTAAAAATTTAACCAAGAAAAAGGCGACTGAGTTTATGAAAGTTAAAAAAAAAAATGGCTAGTCTCAGAGGTTCACGCGAAGATATCGAATGACTGCGACGTAAATAATACAAGAATCGTTTCTCTTATCGGCGCAGGGGACAATTTGGCATAGCGTTATAGGCACTAGGAGTCCCCGAGTTCCTTCTATTCGTGAAATCACATTCTTCTAAAAGGCCAGACGGCGATCGCTAAAAAGATCTGCCATCCGTAGGGCTTTCGTATCCGATAAAGGGATCCAAGAAAAGGGACGCAGTAAAGAATGACTCCCTCTTAAATATACAGGGATTTATGGTTGTACCGTAAGAATCGTCTACCGCTCGAAGACGGTTGCCATAATGTCAATGGGTCGAAGTTGAAAAAAAATAAAAAGTAAGACCAACTATACGCACAAGTAAGATTAATACACAGGGATATAGGAACACGTTCCGTATAATTTCACAAGGGGGCATCACGTACGAGCCATTCGGACGGTGTCCCTTGAGAAAAATAAGTCTCCAGGTAAAATGCCACGTGAGATATGAAGGATCCTCGATAATTATTAGAGCAACGCGCCGTTGAATTTTCTCTGGTGGTATATCGCCAGCCAATGAGGAAGAGCAGAAGGTGGGGTTGACCCGTGTCAGAGAATTGGATTGCTCAAAGAATCCGTAATGAGAGTGAAAAATAATCATTGAGAAAGTCAGAAAAACAGGTGGAGTAAGGGTGAAAAGTAGGGGGGGGGGG